TTACAAATTGAATTGGATTGGATTGGATTGGATTGGATTGGATTGGATTGGATTGGATTGGATTGGATTGGATTGGATTAGATTAGATTAGATTAGATTAGATTAGATTAGATTAGATTAGATTAAATCTGTCAGATTATTACCCTTTGGGGTAGGCAGTGTTATGCAAAGTACAGAAAAGAATAAGGGAAAAAATTAAAGGCATGAAATAAGAAAAATAAAAGGAAATATAACTAAATCTATATTTAGCCATAAGAAATATCAAATATTTTCAAATATATGGTTTTAATAATTAATTTAATTGTTTTAATTGGTTTTATGATATGTGTAAATTGTTAGTTTTATTGTACACCACACAGCCATGTTTGCTGGATGATCTTAAGTCACTCAGTCTAACCTAGCTCACTGCATACTTGTGAAAATGCATGTACTCTGAGACAGGATTGCTTAGTATTAGTTTGAAGTTATATATCATTGTCATCTGAGCTTCAGTAATGGTACTGATAGAAAGTTTTGTTTTCTTTGCAGCAATCAGGAAATATGGTCGTGATTTTCAAGCAATCTCTGATGTGATTGGAAACAAGTCTGTGGTGCAAGTAAAAAACTTTTTTGTAAATTATCGGCGGCGTTTTAACATAGACGAAGTCCTACAAGAGTGGGAGGCTGAGCATGGGAAGGCCGAGACAAATGGAACCGGTACCCAGAAACCTGTCAAATCCCCGGATAATACTATTAAAGTATCTGAAGAAGAAGATGAGGTAGTAGTGGTTTTTTTTTACTTCAGAGCAATATGCATTTATTTGCCCAAACTGGATTATAGTTTTTTGGCAGCATCAACTCCTTGGTTAGCTTTTGGATAACTGTACTATATAGCCATGCTGTTTGGAAACTGATGGTTCAAATATCATCAGTTAACAGTCAGTGAAGTTGGCACATTCATAAATACTCATATAGTCAGTGAAGCCAGGATGGTCTGAAGTGATTGATAATATTTTTTTAACACAGGAAGGCACAATGTGTGACAAAAAATGTTCCAGTCTGAATCTAACATTGTGACTGCATTTGGAAAACCTATACTGAATGTAGTTGCTATATAAATTTTCAATGCCAGGTAGGGTTTCTCAGTATCCAAGTTTGTTTGTTTCCTCTTTTATATCATGGAGCATGCTTGTCTCCATACACTCCCTCCCCATTAAGCACTAAAGACAGAACCTTATTTAGATAGAACCTACCACCATGAAGTGATGGGGAAAGGTCTGATCATAAATATATAAAGAAATGTAAAGAAAGTTAAAGAATGGAAAGGCTCCCGCTTTTTAAGATGGTGCCCTGAAGCTGGAAAATGAGCTCTCTCAGGAGTGTATCATAGTACTAATGTTTAAATCTTCTTTCAGTACTATTTGTTTCTCTGGTTTTCTTCTAATACCTTTGGATATTTCTATGCATTCTTAGTTTGGTTTTAGATTATCATTATGTGTAGTTTTTTATTTATTTTGGCATTATTTACAATAGCTCAAATGTCTGGAGGAGGTAAAACAGAAATGTATAAATTTATGCCCAAAGGGGCAAGTTTGACATTTATGCCAAAAATTTCTTTTTTCCTGTTTCATTGAAAATTATGCCTCTGACAACAGTGTTTGGTGTTTCAGAATTCTCTTTGTTTTAGAATATTGAGTGAGACTTCCATTAATGGGGTCTGAGCACAGAGAGGGAGGTTACTGACTCATTGCTCCACATAACTGTCGGTGGGTTTTCCTTTCTTTCAGATTCTGCTCTTCTTCGTTAAACTAGAAATGAAATGAAGCAAAAGGGGAGTGTGCGTGTATACAAAAAATAATTTTAAAATGTTTCTTACCACTACCACCCTTTTCTTCTATTCCAGGCTACTTCGGTTTTGGATGTCAGATATTCATCTGCTTCATGAAAAACTTAGGTAGCCTAGAACAATTTTATGTTTTGACTACTGTGTTATCTGAAATATCAGGTATTAGCAAAACTTCGGACAGCCATCTGCATCATATCTCTGTGGACAAGCAGCTATTACCAAAAAAGAGAGAGAGAGAAAGAGAGGACTGATCACAAATAAAGGCAAACACTTCTGTTCCTGTTCTGTATTTGCCTTAACTTTCTCCTCATTCTTCCAAACCAACCACCGATTCAATTTCAGCAATTCCTGGAACAAGCTCTCGGTTTTCAACACCACCCATTTTCATAGCATCAGCGACGTCTTGAACCATCTACATCCCTCTCTGTAAACCTTAATTAGCCAACCTTGCTTCTCTTCATGCTCACAAGTTACCTCCTGACAGCAGGGGCATTTCTAAAACATACTCTGTAGTAAGATATTAGTATGCATTTCTATATGCCCTTGTGTGATTTAAACTTATTTTACGATATAATCACTGCTGATAAGGTAACCTTTTATTTTATTTTATTTTTTTAATGAGTGAGTTTTCTGTTAAGAAAAGTATTATGTGTATGCTGATTAACCCTCTCCAATGTGATGTCCTCCAGATTTGTTGGGTCTATAACACCCACATTTGTAGTCCCAGCATACTTGGAGGCACACAGTGGGGAAAGCTGTGCTAGTTGGTCTGGTAGTTTATCTGAAATTAGGGTTAGGGAGGGGGGGATGTGATTTCCAGGATAGAAAACAGACTTTTCCTGTGTGTAATTCTGTTCTTATATTCAACTCCTCCTTAGAAAGCTCACTGATACTAATTGTGATTTTTATTATTATAGTAATGGGCCTTTTTATTTAGTGCAAAAGGGAATGTGCAGTGTGTAACCTTGCTTTGAATCTATATATACATATACTTTGGCATTCAGTGTACTTGCATTATAATCTCTAGGTGAGTAGCAAAATAAGTGACTTGATTTGGATATCTAGGGGATTAAGACGAAGCAGCAGCTTGTTCTAATTTGAGGTGCTTTTAAACCGCTACATTGGGGGCCTCATGTCCTGTTGAGGTGCGTGGAAGCTACATCTCAGTTTTTCGTGGTTAATTGCTGGTCTGGATGAGAGCTTAGTAGCAGTAATCACAAACTCAGAATAGAGAGCATCAGTATTTAAAATGTGCGCTTGCAAGTAATTTTCCTGTCATACATTTTATTCCATTTCTGCCCAACCCATGGCTCTCCTCAGATGGCTCTAGGCATTTGGCTTTGACAGCATGGAAGGTCCAAGGTGGCCATTCTTCTGAAAGATGCACAGTTGTGGTGGGGTTTTTTAATCAGCAAGTTTGTTCTGACAATAGAAAATTAAGTTAGTATTTTAATTGGGCATGCAGCAATATTTTTCCCACATTGACTTTGGTATCTGTTTATCTCAAATATACAAATCAGATTAAAATAAACTTGTAACCTCAATTACTTTTTGAGTTCCTGAAGAGAGTGTGTGAGATAATCTACCCCTAGTAAGTGATCTAACAGTTAAAGCTGCAAAAATAAAAGTTTCCTTCACTCCCAGCTCATTATGTTAGGGCTTGCCTTCATCAACTAGGATTGACCCCACCTAGTCAAAGTTTGCAATGACACCAGAGCAAGTGCCAGAAGAACATTGGAAATACATTGGTTAAGATGGGTGAGCCAGGTCTGGTCATAACCATTAAGGTATAGCAGGAAATCTTTCTCTGTCTGTAAGAGAAGAAGCCATAGACAAGTCTAAGAATCAAACAGAGAATAAATCCTTTGCAGGAAATGACACCAGCTGGTCTAATATAGAACAGAGAAGTGGAAAAACCCTAAGATGCATATGGCAAAATGTGCCCCTTCTTCCTTAATTAACTTAGTAATACTGCTTTATGTTTGTGATATCTGATTCAGATTATCAGCTCTGGGAAATGATTGTGTGTGTATTTTAAATACCTAGCTCATGCTTCTCCAACTTGGCATTTGAGGATGTGTTGATATTTTAGTCTTTAGTTATGCTGGATGAAAATTTGGGCAACATCTGGAGGGTGCCAGGTTGGGGAAACAAATCTGTTCTCTTTATGTTAAGCTGAGTGTTTGTAAAAACACTTCCAAATGTTTTGATAAAGAATTGGCATATTTTAACCATGTTATAAGGTAGACTTGGGATAGCATCCAGTCCATGGGGGCGGGGGTGTGTGATTTTTTAAAATCTAGCTACAGTAGTAGGCAGTGTGCAATTTTATAAAATCAGAAAAATATCTATGTAAATATTTTATATTAAATTAGCAAAGAAAAGTAGAACAAGATACAGCAGCTGGAATGGACTGCCTGAAATCTGTTAGCTAAGAGCTAAAATGTATTATAATTGCTTTATGTGATGTGTGTATTGTTGGGTTGTACCATTTTAGACTGCAGTGGAAATTAAATGTTCATAAGTTCCCCCATATTTTTTATATCTTTGTACATTGTTGCATGTACACTTAATACTTCATTTTCTTAGATACGAATGTGTTGAACCAACTGTAATGATTGGGTTAACACATCATGCTAAGCCATAACCTGTGGTTCACAAATAACAACGGTTGGGTTCATACAATGTGCTAAAGTAAAACTAAAAAAGCCACATTGTGGATTGGTTATAGTGTATGAACCCAGCCATGACGATTTAGATGAAGATAAATTCAGATCAACATTGCTTGGTGAGTAGAAGTGAGTACTTGTTCGTGAGAAGTATGCCACTTTTGTATGTCTGGCAGAGATATTGCATTGATATTCAACTTGCTAAAAACCAGAGACCCACATTTCTGAGTCTTTCTAAATTACTGTCTTTTAAACAGTAAACATTTATGACAATGTTTCCACTTTTTTTTTTTTTTTTTACATTGATGTGTAGGTTTCTTAAAACAAATTTACAGTTCACTTCTTTCATCCCTGTTCATTTCAGTAACATACACACAACATTCCTTCATCTGAAATGTCATTACTAACCTCTTCTAGTGACCCTAAAGCTGCTTAATTCTACTGAGAGACAGATGAACACTTAGCAAGGATTCCCTTTAATGTGGTGCTGACAGTAAGTAATCCATAGAAGTGGTTTTTCCCTCTTCGCCTTCTCCCAACAGCCCCAGGGAATCTCCTGAATAGAATGAGAGATGACGTGAGGAACTGGACATAGGGGGTCACAGTAACTGAACAGAAATATCTCTCATGAGCAGAAACCTCACCTGTATACCATCCAGAGTTTGCTAGGACAAAGGTGAACAAGGCAAAAGTTCACTAGATAACTAGTTCCTTGAACAAAAGTGAATTAAATCAAATTTTCATTATGACAGCGTTAACATTTAATCGCTGCTTCAGCCTCAAGTGGTACAATTAAATGATGAATCTAATAATCATGTGGCTTAGCTCTGAATACTAATATGTTGCATTGCTCTCTTCTGTGACTCTACCGAACAATATGATCAGAAAAAGATTGGGTTTTGGCTCATTCCCCTATGAAAATCGGCACAGAATCCCTCTATGAGGATGATAAATTATGTATATTTTCTCACTGTTTCATTATGACCATACTGTAGATTTTCCCCCATTAACTGAACTATGCTTGTAATTGTTCCATTATGAAATGGGAAAACCTATTTAGCTTTTAGTTTAAAAAAAAAAATCTGGTGTTTTGTATGGGAAAAACCAGATTTGTTGTTCAAGCATTATTTAATCAAGGCTTCATGTACTGATTTAGAAGGGTCCACAAAGATTGCTACATAATATGTAAAACTCACATTTTGTTTTCTTAAACTAGCAATGTGAATGTTATAGTTATATATATTTTGTGGAAGATGGAAATTTTTATTTCTTACTAGGTATAAATTATTGTGCATAACTATAGTATCACAAAGAAAAGTACTTCTTTTTAAAAAAAAACCCAGCAAAACCCTAGTTTTAGAAATCTTAACCAATGTATTGTATATGCACCAGAATTTTACATTTGTTCTATTTAATTTTTAAATGTAGTTGTGTAACATGACAGTACATTTTTCATTTTCCCTGCCTCCCAGCTCCATTAGAATACCTTATTACTTGAATATTATATCTTAACTAGTCTGAAATGCAATTAAACATCTGCAATCTAGAATGAAGGGAATGGAGGAAGCAATATATATGATTCCATACTGTATGTATGTATGTATGTATGTATGTATGTATGTATGTATTACATACTATAATATGGAATGCTTTAACAACTTCTTGCAACATTATACAATCATACATGTTCAGTAGTAGTTACAGTGGTAATCCAGCCATACAGGCTGTTTCTGTACATATTTCAGGGATTTTTAAATACTTTTTGTGAAGTTAACCCTCTTTTACAGCTTCCTCCATGTATATAATAAAGATTGCAGTGATAGTGAGGTATTGCACCCACTGGTCCGAGGTCCTGACCTATGTGTGATTGTTACCCCCGTCTCCTCATTTTCAGCAGAAGCAGTGAAAGGGACCTCTACCTATATATGACTACACAACTGTGGAGTCTTCAGCATGTTCAGGAAGTCTGCATTATCAAGATTTTGGATCATGCTGAGCACCCTACAGGGGTACCATTTGATGTTGGTGAATGCCTTTCATGTCTTCTGCTAACCAGGCAGAAATCAGAGCCAGTCATGACTATTGTGCATGGAGGGTAACTGTGGAGAGAGAAAACATTGGTCTCATATCACTCTGAAAGTAAAATTAAGTCAGTGAATTAATAGTCTCTCTGGCAAGTTATCCATGGTTGACTGTGTGTAATTCTCTACTTTCCCCTTCCATTGTACAACCTCAAGTGATTAATTGCAAGATACACCAACATTACCCAGTAGAAGGTATTTGGTTCAACTTCTAGCCATGTAGACACATATGGATTAGAAAAACATTGCTGGAGAAATTGCTTTGGACCAGGGATGTTGCCTGCATTCACCTAGGAAAAGGGCATCGGGAGTGTCATTTTTTAAGCTAATCCCAGGAAAAAAAGTTCCCTCTTTTTAAATGAAGTAGTTCTATTGCAGCATTGGTAGATCAAATTCAGGAGAG